TTCCACTGATCGTCGCCAGAGTCGGTCTCCATCTCGCTCGGTACGTTTCGCATCATCTTCCACACAGGGAAACGACCCTCTGCTGGCACCACGGGCCGACCGCCAGTAGATCACTCCCAGGCCCGCCACGCCTCACCTACTGCTCACACTACAGCAGTCCTCGACGGACATGCCACCCGCATTCTTATAGACACGGGTTCAGCCATATCTCTAATCAGCGAAACCTTACGTGATACGATTCCTTCTCTCCGGCAATCCCAACTCAAACCTTCCTTCACCACAGCAAAATCAGTCACCGGTGAACCACTTGATGTCCTCGGCGTGTTGGACATCCACATCCGTATTGGTAACTACGACACCTGCCACCCCGTCCATATTGTGCGAGGGGCCGACCAGACTGCCCTGTTAGGATGGGACTTCTGCGTCTCCAACTGCGTAATTCTTAATGCCAGTAGAGGTACCCTCACGGTAGGGGACGAGATTGTGCCTCTCCTGACGGACACAGAACTGATTCCACAAGTCTGCAACGCATCCGTGTGCCGGATCACCACAGTCCCACCCCACGCGGTGATGGCCGTTCCCGTCACCCTCACTCCTCGGGATGCCCATGGGGTTTCTCTTCCCACGTATGTTGGCATGCTTGAACCTCGCCAGCACGACGACCGCGGCCTTGCGGTGGCTCGTACCATTGCTACTACAGACAGTTCTCAGGCCTATGCTCAAGTAACCAATACCACAGATAAACCCGTGGTTCTCCAGCCAGATACGCCCATGGGTTCCTTTTGGGCCCTCCAAGACGATGACATCGCAGATTGCCTCGGGCCATCTCCGCCCGCGGTAGCTTCAGCAGGCCCACCCATTGACCTCAACGAAACTGACCTCTCCTCGACGCAAGCTGAACAGTTGCGGAAGCTGCTGGACAACTACTCCGATGTCTTCAGCACCGGACCTAGGGACAGGGGTCGAACTAACCTCACCACTCACCGCATACATACGGGTGACTGTCCGCCTATCAAACAAAGACCACACCGCACACCTATCCACCGTCAAGCGGAAATCCACAGACAAGTTGACGCCATGCTGGCAGATGATGTCATAGAGAGGAGCCAAAGTCCCTGGGCCTCTCCGGTGGTGCTAGCTCGTAAGAAGGACGGCTCGTTCCGCTTCTGCGTCGATTACCGCAAGTTAAACCAGGCGACCATCAAGGATGCGCATCCCCTTCCCAGGACCGATGATGTCATAGACGCACTCT